AATTTGTTTTCAGAATCAGAATCAGAATCAGAATGAGCTTTATTGCCAGGTATGTTTACACATACGAGGAATTTGTTTTCGTGACAGAAGCTTCCACAGTGTAACAGAATGACAGTGACAGAACAAAAAAACACAGATAATAAAAATAAATAAATAAATAAAAAATAAAAATAGAATAGGGAATAAAAAATATACAAATCGACAATTGTATGTACAGGTATAGAACAATAGACAGTTGTATGTACAGGTATATTATGTGCAAATTGAAATGTAGACTGAGTATGTGTGTTAGATAAATAAGTGTATGAGTGAATAAATAGTGTGTGTTTCACAGTTATTGTCAAGTGTTCATGAGATGATGTATTCTTATACAATATCTAATTCTACGTTTAGCAGCCAATATAAAAAATATATCGCTGAATGCTATGATGGACCAATCAGAATCAGGTATTCCAGAGAGGCGTGCAATAAGTTGAGAATGTTCTGTGATTATACAGCAAAACTGTATAAACTGACAGCAACTGGGAAAGGGGTGGTCATGCTGATGATGAGATTGTGCAGCCATTGTGGGAAGTCACAGAGCTCATTTCCCTAAGGCAGACCTCTGACAGCCATTAGAACAGACAATTCAAATGAGATTCAAGATCATTTGAATGTGTGTGTGTGTGTGTGTGTGTGTGTATAGGCATAGAGATTAATGCTCGCAAACAAGACGAAGAAAAAAGGCCATTTCATTTCCAAAAAAAACTGGAAGAGGGACATATTATCATTCCAGTGATGACATTTTAATATTGTAAATGCAATGCATGTATATGTGTGCATTCACTCACTCTAGGGTAAGGCAGGCCACTGCTGGTGTTAAATGCAGGCAGCAGTCTGAGTCCAAGATCTTTGGCCATGTGCAGCAGCTCGTCCTGGTACCAGACCATTCGGCCACTTTCTTTCAACATGACAGCCATGGAATGGCCTCCCAGCAGTCCACTGTGGAGAACAGTAAAGCTTTACACAACCAAAACAGCCACAATTTACTATAGGTTTGAAAATGTAGTCTTTTACTCTGTCAGCCCATTTTGGAACTCTGACAGCAATGTCTTACTCACCCCAGCACACGGATGTTGGTCTCAAATACAGACACCACAATGTCATTATCCAACCGTACATCCGTCACCACTCTCCTCACCGCCTCCTCAAACTCCGCCGTCTTATTTAACAGCTGTGAGATGTCAGAGCAGGTCATGAGCAAACAACCCTGGGTTTGACTGTACATATGAGTGTTTGTATGAGGTTTCAAGTTCTGTTTGAGATGTTACTCACTGCAAGAGTGTCAAGAGTGTCGATGAGAGTGAGGGAGAACCTGAAGCAACAGAAAAACACGTTTTCATCTCTGTCGTTTCTTTAAAAAGAAATCGATAAAAAGACATTTCTACATGTCTCCATCTTTATTTTCTTTCCAACTGACTTACTTCCCCAGGGCATCATCTACATCCCCTCGACTGGGCTCTAATCCACGTACTCTCCCACGGCAAGTCAAAGGCATCAGCTCGTCTGCGGGGTAGGCATGGTCCTGCCACAATGAGAAGAACCGAGATGAAATGTGATGAAATCGGGCCGATTTTAATTATAATGCTGTTCTCTCAAACATTAATCGGCCTCCCCTATTTTCGCCACCCTCCTGTGCGTGTTTTTTTTTTTTTTTAAACTGCAGGTTATCGCATTTCCATTTCACACATCTTATGTTTCCAACCTGCGTGCTTACAGAATAACAGAGGCTTCTGGGAAGTATTTTACACTGGTCAGAAACATTTATTGGCAAACTAGCAATGTTAACGGAATACCTTAAATTAAAATTCTGGCTTCATTTACTCACATCCATGTCTTTCCAAATGTATCTGACTTTATTTCTTCTGCAGAACTTGAAGATATTTTAAAGAATATTTCCAAAACAACACTTAAAACCATAAGTGAATACATTTATAATGTTACAAAAGATTTCTATTTCAAATAAATGCTGTTCTATTCATCAGAGAATCCTCAGAAAAATGTATCACAGTTTACACAAAAATATTAAGCAGCACAACTGTTTTCAACATTGACAACAGACGAGATGTTTCTTGAGCACCAAATCAGCATATTAGAATGATTTGCAACGCTGGAGTAATGGTTGCTGAAAGTTCAGCTTTTCCATCACAGAAATAAATTAAATTGTAAAATATATTAAAACAGAAACCTTTTTTTTATTTTAATAATATTTCACAATATTACTGATTTTACTGTATTTTTACTCAAATTAATGCAGCCCTGGTAAGCATAAAAGACTTCCAAAAACATAAAAAAATCTAACAAATATATAAACTAAACACAAGACTTTGGATCCTGATGGAACAGTACCATTAACATTTCCTTGTACCCAGCTGTCAACAAGAAAAGTTATTAGTCACTGTGTACATACCATGTAGTTTTGATAAGCGTGGTCAAACATTTCCAGCACTTGGTTCCTGAGACGCAAAGGCATTTCTTAAGTTAAGAATTTTTTTTTGAATCATATAGCAAGCAATTCATAATTTCATGTGTCCTCACATAGACACATACCTCAGTTTATTCTTCTCATCTCTACTCATGGCCTCCGACAACCTGCTGGAGGTTCCCATAAAAAACAGCAGCAAAAAAGCAGGCAACATTGTTGCAGAATGAAGCATCCACATGGCTCGAATCCACTGGTTTCACAATGGACTTCATGCAGATGAAAACACCTTAGGTAGGTGTCTGAGTCGACTCTTTCCTGCCTTAGATGTGCTTATTTAGCACCAAGTTAGAGTTCATCCACCTCTGGTCCATTATTTTTAAATTTAATGTCAAAAAATATAATGCAGGGCAGATTTAGTAACACCCACAGCATTTGAATACATTCACTGTTCCAGCTCAATAACTTCACAGTTCCTTTTCTTATCTAATCGTCTCACTTGGATGAATGCAGCTCTGGTGTAATTCTGAGACGCTTCTAGTGTCTACTACAAATTGACTAAGGAAGAAAGAACGATCAAGTCAAATTTTCCTCACACGAACGCACACGTCCTGTCTTTAGTGTTACTCAGCCAGCTGCTGTTGTCTCACCTGCCTGTCACCTTGATAACACGTTGGCACCCATGTGACACGTCTGCATGCTACTCTCATCACCTATAAAACAACAACAAAACTACATCACTGTAGATCCCCAGCAGAGACGGGCTCAAGAGGAGCTCCAGATGGGGCCATGGAAAAAGATGCTTCGTCTCTAACAGCAACCATCTCCATGGGTGACACGATCATCAGTTTACATCCCTAGAAAGAATCGTATTGATCCTACTAGAACTGACAGCAATTGGTTAGATAGAATGCGGGTCCCAATCCCATCTTCGTGATAATGAAAACAAGTTTAAACCTTGAAGACAATGATGAGGCGTTTTCATAAAATAAAATATCCAGCAATTTTTTTTTGTATTGTCAAGATGATATGATGAAAAAAAAAGATCCCTTAACCCGTCACGCTTTGTTGTTTAGCTCGCCGGCTAACCCGTCGATGACAGTTCGGCACTTACGTTACTGGACATATGTTATAAGGGGGGAACGCTGCTGTAACTAGCGGAAAGACATTTTTAAATCTGTTCTTCGATCATCCATGAGTGATTAGAAGGTCCATTCAGCTCCCCGATTCCGATAAATACAAAAATATTCCGTTTAAGATTGATTTTATGGCAGGTGTAATACAAAGGGCCAGAGGTCTCTCTCTCACAATCGCCGAGTGTACGATCACCCGTTTTACGCCATATCAAAGGAGGACGTCAACATCCGCATCCGGGTAGCGCCGAGTACACGCCCCGTTCGTTGGCTGTAAGCAGAGCTGTCGTAAAACATGTTTTTTTAATTATTTTTTTTATTATTTAGTTGTGCGTTTGTACATAGTCTGTGAAATTCGCCTCAACAAGACAAAGAAGTCCGATTAACATATCCCAGCACAGAAAAAAAAATCAAGTACGATCAAATAAAAAACAAACGTATATAAACAGTGTAACTGTAGAATCTCAATATAGCAGTGGTTCCCAAACTTTTTGCAGCATGCACCCCTTTCTAGTGTCGACCTTGTTACTATTGATTATCCATTATGAATTGCCGTTTACACCAAGTGTAATAAAATCAGAATCATTCTCGCTGAAAATTTGGTGCTTCCCTAATTCGATGTTTTAATTAGATTAGATTAGTTGTCCGGTCGGGCAAGTAAAATTCTCTTTCACTTGCCCCTTCAAAATATGCACACAGATCACCAAAAGCATTCTCTCGCGCACCCCTGCTGGTCGGTCTGTGCACCCCTAGGGGTGCGCGCACCACAGTTTGGGAACCGCTGCAATATAGAATAAAAGCTCAATATAGAATAAAAACATGAATAATAATAATCTTATTGTGTAAATCTAAATGTGTGTGTTTAAGGAGTTACAATATTAATAACATACTAATATTCTTTGTTATGCATCTTACAAAGATTGAACTTTATATAAATGTCTGCTTTAAATTTCATTTGTTAATTATTGTAATACAATTGTGAATACGTTTTGTTTACTAGATATTTATGCGGTTAGAAACGGACTTTGTCCAATTTACATCATTTAGTACTCACTCCAATAAACAATATGCTGCAGCCACAATGTCCCTCTGCCACATGACACGAATGATTGTATTACTACGACGCGAATTTTGTTTGAGAACTACAGAATTAAGTCACCTAACTAGGCGAGAGTATGAAACTGTGTATTTTATTATTTTATATTAAAATATTTTATTCGATTAATTCAATAAGAAATTAAAGAATTCAAACCCAGCACACTGTATGTATTCATTACAACACATTTCTTAATATAATGCATACGGGTCCTCTAAATAAAGCAACTGCCTGGTTTCTCACATATATTTTACTTTTCAAGATGTAGCAACAAGTCCGCGCTTCCTCATAAGCATGCGTCACATGATTGCCTTGTGCAGTGACGTGATTTGCACACAAGCACAGTACGACGGTCAGTACAGAGACTGTCAGGTGAATAGCGTTACTGCACGAGCTCATTAAACACTTTTAGCGAACGAGAGAGAAGGTAAGCGACTGTCTTGTGTATATATATGGAATGAATTAAGATGTAATTGGTCGGGCTTTAGTGTAATTGACGTTTTCTCAGTGTTGTTGTGCATGCAGAGATGTCTCGAAGCATTAAAAAGCTCACTGGTCTCGTGGCAGCTACATTCACACCACTCACTGCAGAAGGGTGAAATATTTCATTTCTCAATAAAAGTATTACTGAAACATACGCCTTGTGTCCAGTGATCTGGCCATTGATCTGTTCTTCATCTTTGCTGTTTTTAGGGAGATCAATCTCTCTGTAATTGGACCATACATTGATTACCTAATAGAGAACCAGAATGTCAAGAGTGTGTTTAGTAAGTCAAACCTATTCATTTAATCAAAGGTTTGGGGGAATAAGGCAGCTTGTTTTTCTCATTTCTATTATTTGTAATCTAAACTTTTTGTTAGTTAATGGCACAACAGGTGAGGGCTGTTCTCTAACTGTGGATGAAAGGAAGCAGCTTGCTGCAGCGTGGTGCCAACATGGAAAGGGCAAGTGAGTTATCTCATATTTATAGTGTTTATTCAGCTATGTGAGAATGGGCAATGGCAACAACCTCTGTCCCCTTACAACACCTGTCTAAGGGGACAGGGGTTGTAAAACGAACACATTTTTGACAATGTTAACAGAAAAACAGATTACAAAAATCTTAAGTAGGAGAAAATCATAAATAATTTTAGTATTTATTGTGTGAAAATTATTTATATACATTTTAAATTTCACTTAGGCCTATTATTATTATTATTATTATTAAAAAAGTGAGAACAAATATGATATCTAATTGTGTGTGTGTTTAGGATCGATACAAATCTAGCTAAATCTTAATTGATAAAAGAGTTGGCCTAAAAACTATTAAAATGTAATTGATGTTAATGATGTGTGAGGAAAGATGGCAAGAAGTTTATTTTCTAAAAGTCCCAAAAGTCTTTTCTACTGTAATACATACCTTCATTACATTCTTCCCCTCATAAAAGTACTGTGTATGTGTTCAGGCTTGAGCAAGTGATTGTTCATGTTGGCTGCATGAGTATAAAAGACTCTCAAGAACTGGTGAGCACACTGCTTCACAACCCCTTTTATTCACATGCATTATCTGCATTTTTCATGCATATACCACTTTTGTTAATACACATCTCCATTTTCGTAACAGCAGCCCAAAAAAACACTTTTCATCTCATTTATTGCTTATCCATTCGTGTTTCAGCATGTGCAGATAAACGGCTAGTTCCCTCCTCGTGACTGTTTAAAAATGCTGAGTGGATGTTTTTTACTTTCCCTCAGGCTCGGCATGCTGCCAGTATAGGGGCCGATGGCATAGCAGTAATCTCTCCTTCCTATTTCAAACCCGTTAATGCAGGTTTTAACCCCGTTTTCTAAACACTGCATAATTATTTTTTTTGTTAAAGGTATTTCCAACTGTGCTTTTAATTGCTCTTCCTCTTTTCACAGATGCATTGAGGTTGTTTATAAAGGAAGTGAGTACCTTTGCTCCAGATCTTCCGATGTATTATTATCATATTCCAAGCATGACTGGTGTTGCATGTAAGTGCAGCTCCTACACGTCATCATTACTGGCAGTCAAAACACTGACGACTTTGTAAATTCTTTGCACAGTTCAGAATGAGTCATATTCACATGTGAGAGACTGACTTTTAGTTCCTCCTGTAGTCCAGTCTCTGTTTTTCCTTTATTTTTTCAGTCGATGCGGCTGATGTGCTAAATGGGATAGAGCAGGTGATCCCCTCATTTCAGGGAGTGAAATACACTGGGACTGACCTGAGGGATCTCGGGCAGTGTGTCTGTTACAGTCAGTCCCATAACTGGTCTGTCCTGTTCGGAGTAGATGAGGTATGAAATCCCCTTACTCATTCATCTAGTGCATTTTTCCTGCTAGACTAACATTGAAATAATTTGTGGTTTTAATTTGATATATTTTGCTTGACACTTTGTTTCGCAGCAACTCTTGGGAGCTTTGGTACTAGGTGTTCATGGAGCAGTAGGGAGGTGAGTGCCAACATCATGCCATCCTGGAACTCTTTATCTGGCCTCAGTTGTTATGAATTCATGACCTTTCACTGTTTTTCCTGCTGTGGTGCCGATTTGGTTCTTGCATTCTGTTATTTAGTGACTGATTTGCTTGTTGGGAGTAGTGTAACCTTAGATTTGTATTACATTATTATTTTAAAGGAATAGAACTGATACACATAAAGGTTATGGCTTGACAATAGATTACAGCAAAACCAGTACCTGCTAGACACATTGGAAGCTTCTGGCTCGAGTCTCAGGTCCGGCAGGGATTGTAGGTGGGGGGATTACAAAAATCTTAAGTAGGAGAAAATCATAAATAATTTTAGTATTTATTGTGTGAAAATTATTTATATACATTTTAAATTTCACTTAGGCCTATTATTATTATTATTATTATTATTATTAAAAAAGTGAGAACAAATATGATATCTAATTGTGTGTGTGTTTAGGATAGATACAAATCTAGCTAAATCTTAATTGATAAAAGAGTTGGCCTAAAAACTATTAAAATGTAATTGATGTTAATGATGTGTGAGGAAAGATGGCAAGAAGTTTATTTTCTAAAAGTCCCAAAAGTCTTTTCTACTGTAATACATACCTTCATTACATTCTTCCCCTCATAAAAGTACTGTGTATGTGTTCAGGCTTGAGCAAGTGATTGTTCATGTTGGCTGCATGAGTATAAAAGACTCTCAAGAACTGGTGAGCACACTGCTTCACAACCCCTTTTATTCACATGCATTATCTGCATTTTTCATGCATATACCACTTTTGTTAATACACATCTCCATTTTCGTAACAGCAGCCCAAAAAAACACTTTTCATCTCATTTATTGCTTATCCATTCGTGTTTCAGCATGTGCAGATAAACGGCTAGTTCCCTCCTCGTGACTGTTTAAAAATGCTGAGTGGATGTTTTTTACTTTCCCTCAGGCTCGGCATGCTGCCAGTATAGGGGCCGATGGCATAGCAGTAATCTCTCCTTCCTATTTCAAACCCGTTAATGCAGGTTTTAACCCCGTTTTCTAAACACTGCATAATTATTTTTTTTGTTAAAGGTATTTCCAACTGTGCTTTTAATTGCTCTTCCTCTTTTCACAGATGCATTGAGGTTGTTTATAAAGGAAGTGAGTACCTTTGCTCCAGATCTTCCGATGTATTATTATCATATTCCAAGCATGACTGGTGTTGCATGTAAGTGCAGCTCCTACACGTCATCATTACTGGCAGTCAAAACACTGACGACTTTGTAAATTCTTTGCACAGTTCAGAATGAGTCATATTCACATGTGAGAGACTGACTTTTAGTTCCTCCTGTAGTCCAGTCTCTGTTTTTCCTTTATTTTTTCAGTCGATGCGGCTGATGTGCTAAATGGGATAGAGCAGGTGATCCCCTCATTTCAGGGAGTGAAATACACTGGGACTGACCTGAGGGATCTCGGGCAGTGTGTCTGTTACAGTCAGTCCCATAACTGGTCTGTCCTGTTCGGAGTAGATGAGGTATGAAATCCCCTTACTCATTCATCTAGTGCATTTTTCCTGCTAGACTAACATTGAAATAATTTGTGGTTTTAATTTGATATATTTTGCTTGACACTTTGTTTCGCAGCAACTCTTGGGAGCTTTGGTACTAGGTGTTCATGGAGCAGTTGGGAGGTAAGTGCCAACATCACGCCATCCTATAACTCTTTTTCTGGCCTCAGTTGACATGAATTCATGACCATTCACTGTTTTTCCTGCTGTGGTGTCGATCTGGTTCTTGCATTCTGTCATTCAGTGTCTTCTGTGGCTGATTTGCTTATTGGCATTAGTGTAACCTCAGTTTTGTATTCCATTATTATTTTAAAGGAATAATTCACCCAAAAATGCTTTCGCCATCTACATCTTGGATGGTGATTTCAGCAAATTTTCATTTTTGGGTGAACTGAACTATTCTTTTAACACTTCAAAAACAACTGTAAGTGTATCAGTTCAAAAACAACTGATACATATAAAGGTTATGGCTTGACAATAGATTACAGCAAAACCAGTACCTGCTCGACACATTTGTAGCTTAAAAACTTAAATTATACGTAATGCTTTGCTGAAGACCATGCAACACACTATCTGTTCTCTGCAGCACATATAACTACCTCGGATGCATAGTGAACAAGATGCTTGCTGCTTTTGATAATGGCAACCACATGCAGACCAGAGTGCTGCAGGTACAGTACATCTTTCATCCCATGTTACATGTGTAATTCTCATTTAGTGGTGTGTTTGGACTTTATTTTATCAGCATATTTTCAAGTTTAATGAATTAATATTATTTTAACTATAGAAATTAATGATTTGCTTTTCTGTTTACAGTTTGAATTTATGGAGGTTATCACATTTGCTAAGAACCTTGGTGAGTTGATTGTCTTCCACATACATCACCTTTCAAATGTTTGGATTTCTTTAATGCTTTATGCTTACCAAGACTATATTTATTTGATTAAAATAAATATAGTAATATTGTGAAATATTATTATAATTTAAAATAACTCTTTTCTATTTTAATATTTTTTAAAATGTAGTTCATTCCTGTGATGGTAAAGCTGAATTTTCAGCATCATTACTCCAGTCTTCAGTGTCACATGATCCTTCAGAAATCATTGTAATATGCAATTTGCTGCTCAAGAAACATTTATTTTTATTATCAGTGTTGAAATGTTGCCACTTAATATTTATGTGGAAAGAGTGGTACATTTTTTAGGATTCTTTGATGAATAGAAAGTTCAAAAGAACAAGATTTTTTTGAAATGGGAATATTTTGTAAGATGATAAACATCTTTACTGTAATTTTTGACCAATTTAATGCATCCTTGCTAAATAATACAAAAAAAAACAACTTACTGACCCCAAACATTTGAACAGTGTCAGTAAGACTTGTCTTTGGTGGTGTTGTGCATATTATTGCAAGGAAGTTTTCATTATTTTATGATTGTTATTATTTATGCTCTGCAGGTTTTGATGTGTCCGTGAATAAGCAGGTGATGAGTGAAGTGTCAGGGTTAGCAATGGGTCCCCCTCGACTCCCGCTGCTGCCATGTCCTGTCTCAAAGGCCCAGGCTATAGCACAGAAAGTCAAGGACTTCTCTCAGGGACATTAAAATGAAAGAAATTTAATTGAACCTACCTGGAACTCCAAACAAATAATTTGTGTTAGCGAGCTGTAAACTGTACCACATTTTTTTACACTACAGTATATTGATGTACTGTATCTTTTATATTTGCATGTTGTTGTTTTTTTACATTTCATACTTTATACTTGCTTTTATTAATGTTTATTTTTTTATTGTTAACACGTTTAAAGTCTTTAGCATTTTGTTTTCTGTGATTAATAACATTAAAATTAAACTAGAAATTTCAGTGGACCTACTTGAATTACCCAACAGAGTTACTAATAATCCTCAGCGTTACTGATTTATTTACACCAGGATATACTGGATCTTGTATATCTAAATGCTCATTTTGTTTTGTCTTGTCTTATGCTGACATGGGTTAAAAAGCATACACATATGAAGTAATTTTTGTTGTTTTTATTCTTTAATACTATCAATTACCCTCTTTTAGCTGATCTTGATGTAATTAAGTATTTGTGCTGCTGAGGCAGTGGTTGCAGGACCACCCTTGAGCAAAACACTACCAAAAGTATTTCTATGTGACAAATGGCATTACTCACAGCAAGTGCACTGTAAGTAATTTAGGATGAAAATCATCTTCTCTGAGACATGTACCACAAAATCCATTTCTCTGATTGTGATATTTTAGATATACTTTCAAACAGAATAAGTTCATTTCATATTCTATTAAAATGTGAATGCTGAAAATCACATGAACCACACTGTTTTAATCTAGGAGTTTCTCATGTTTGCAGAATACTGCTCAAAAAATGGACATTTTTGTATGTTGAAATGGAATGAATACAAATTATTCATAACTGAATGCAAGCTATTGCTTTGAGGTTCTTATTCTGTCTCATAATAGTCTGAAATCTAACCACTTTAATTTGAAAGTTTCTGTTTTAATGTCTGTTTACTCAGTAATGATTTTTTTTATTATTGTTTGGTATTACCTTATTTTCTTTGGCCTTTGCATTTTTTCTTTTATTTGGGTTGTTAGAGAGCCCTAGAACAGGGGTGTCCAGTCCTGCTCCTGAAGGGCCACTGCCTTGCAGAGTTCAGCTTCAACCCCAACTAAACACACTTGAACCAGCTAATCAACATCTTACTAGTCATACTAGAAACATCAGGGCAGGTGTGCTGAGGCAAGTTGCTCAACTCTGCAGGGTAGTAGCCCTCCAGGACCAGGTTTGGACACCCTTGGCCTAGAAGCTCTCATTGATTTAATTTTACCTCACTCATTGAAGGCTTCCTAATTTCTGCTTGATGAAGAAATTGACCAGGGATAGAATGTACCTCTCTTTCCGTCTGATTAATCCAGCTGTCATAATGCTGTTATGTCACTGGTATTGCCCAATGCCCATTATTATCTGACTTCCTCCCTGTTCAAGCCTGTGATGGAAATCTGGCAGAATGACGTGGAGCAAATCAAACCTTTTAAGTGGATGAAATGTTCCTGCCTCCATTGTCTTTTAGTTTAATTGAATAATCTCACATAAACAGCCCCTCAGATGACATTCTGGTTTTTAGATCATTCAAAACAACTGAATGAAATTAAGTGATTTCTTTTTATTTATCTTTTTTTTGTCTTAAATACCTGTTTGTATGAAAAACTGTAGAAATGGTATGGTTCATGTTTCACTACTGTCTCAGCAGGACACATTATCCGAGACTGCACTATCATCACCTAATCAGTGTTTTACTGCTGACTCCAGACTGATTGACTGAAACGAGCAGTATAACAAGGTACATGAGCATTTATCAGCGGCAGCAGGAGGAACAACAGTAGCAATTTCCTTCCAGTGAGAATACAAGTAAAGAGAACTAAACCGTGTCTGAAAAAGACAACCCAGCTCTTTAAAATTCAGGTCATGACCACGTTTCCTGTAGAAAAGGCTGCCTGACTACAAATGAGATATTTTACTTTAACTGGACACATATTGTGGATACCCTTTAAATTACTTTGGCAACATCTCATGTTGTGATCAATAAAGTGTTTTTCTTTTTGATCCTTGGATACTGTCTGGTACAGAAATGTCTCTAGTCCTTTATTCCCGGGTCTCCACTCTGTCCAAAAGACTCGTTATTCCATATGAGAAATGCTGCCATCTAGTGTCTGCTGAGTGCACCTGCCGTATCTGTCTCCATTAACTGACCTCTTAATAAACACGCCAGACATCAAGGGCAACTGATTTGATCTTCGAGGGGGGTCAGAAATCATAAAGACCATAGTTTTTAAATACTATTGGAGCTTTAATGAAAATTTAAGCTTAGGTTCTCTGTGATTTTGTGGGGCTGGCACACGCAAGCACACCCATCACTTTGGATTACTTTTATTGGAGTTAGTTTATGTCCAGAAACGTATGTACATATATTTTAAAAGTAAATTTTTTTATGTAAATTTAAATGAATAAATATTCCACTGTGGACAAATAATGGGTTAACTGACAGCAAGATATTGTTAGAGGACGTGGTAGACTGGTGAAAACAACTGTCCCTGGTAAAATATCGAATAAATGACTCAAAACTAAATATTTAACATCAACTTCTGTCTTTCAAAGTCAGTATATAACAATATCTAATCCCTATTCACATACGGAACCAATGATAGTGGTTTAAAAAAGTAATACCCCGCGGGACAATAATACAGCGACGCCAACTATTCACGTATTTCCGGCCAGCTCAGCGAACGGAGGAGTGTTGTGAAGCTGCAATCCAGACACAGACATTTTTACAGCTGTTAACCGCTTCACATACACCTGCTGTGCGTAAATCCGAAATTTCAGAGAAATGGTGCTGCTGACAATGATCGCGCGGCTGGCGGACGGACTGCCGCTGGCGGCTTCAATGCAGGAGGACGAGCAGGTATGAGCTCAGTTATCTCTCTCTCTGTGTTTTATAATTTATATTAGGCCTATGTGTGCTGTAAATGTAACAAGTCAAAGAGCAATATCTTTAAAAACATGACGTTTACTTCTAAAAGTGTCTAGTTCTCGGGATTTGTAATCCACAACATCAGATAACTGTTTTAATCGGGCCTTTATTAGCTCAGATTGCTATAATTAGACATCTGTTGGAGTGTTCGCATTCATTTGAAATACTTTATTTGGAATCTAACAGTGTAGTAAATCTTGAGATATTATATTTGTTTCTATCTCGTTCGTTCTCGGTTTGAAAGATGTAAATTGGTCACAGAGAGAGAGAGAGGCTTCATTAGATGGATTCACATAATTTTGATCAGTTACAGCGCCCTCTTCTGTCATGTCACACCATTTGTCTTCCCTCCATACTAAGTCAGTTACATCATAAAAGATTTGAGAATTGTTTTACATTTTTTCCTGTAGTTTCCAGGTATATATTATAACTTAATTATAATAAGATTTGTATATATGTTTATAGGAAAGCACTTTAGGTTGAACCCTAAATGTATGGTGTCCGAGACATTACCTCAAAAACTCAATTGTATTCATGTTTTATGAGAGTATATTCAATTACCTGATGCAATGAGGAATAAATATAAAATTGAAAATATAACATTTAAAAATTTAAATAACTTTATTTAACCATTAAATTTTTTATTTAACCATTCTTTATTTTTTTTTTATAAATATTATTTATTTCAATGTTTATTTTATAGTTCAAATAGTTCACTGAAAAAAGTTCTGTCATCATATACTCACCTTTATGTTATGTGACTCCCCTTCTCTGTAGCACAAAAGAAGAGTTGTAAATATTTTTGTAAATAACATGCTCCATTTTGTTCTATACAATGAAAGCATATAGTGATGTGATCATGAGCTGTCAAGCTCTAAAAAGGCACCAAATGATTCATATGGTATATATTCCACAACATCTATACTTGTATGATAACTTTGTGTGAGTTAGAGACCAACGTTGATGTGTGAAGTGCGTCTTGAAAATGTACTGTACATAAAAGCATCCCTAATTTGGAATGACTTGAGGACAATAATTTTCCCAGTTAATTTTGTGGTTTATTTATCTCTGTGATATGCATATTATGTGTGTGTGTGCATGGTTTCCTGTAATCTAGAGAACTACATAGGCAGATATGACCCTTTAGATGTGTAAATTAACATGATGTATTCCTCTTCAACATAATGGAAGAGTATGAGACTCGCTTGTCACTTTTCACTCAGTATTGTTTTTGACTGGTTTGATTGACCTGTAACTCCTCATGTGCAGCTGAACTGCCATAATTGTGGTTAAACTGCTGCAAAACATCTTCATAAGAGTGGCCTATTTCCTATGTTTCTCATTTTTTTCTTATGCTTAAACTTTGTTGTTGATGTTTTGAGGACCAAGACAAAGTTTTGGGCTGCTTTAGTAGATTTGGAAGAAGTAAAGAAAAAAGCTTCCCTATAGTATCTCCAAATAGTGTTAATGTGACTGACTACTCATTTGATTTAGGTCTAACATCTTTACGTTTCCTCCTTTCATGCTGCCATGAAGGGAAATGAAAAGGTTTGTTCACCTTTAGCTTTGTCAAATCCGTCTGAAGAGGATCGAGTCAAATGTAATATCTAATAATCTAGCGCTTTTGTTCTCAGATGGGCCGAGATCTCCAGCAATATCAGAGCCAAGCCAAACAGCTCTTCCGCAAATTAAATGAACAGAGTCCAAACCGATGCACCTTAGAGGCTGGATCAATGGCCTTTCAGTAAGTGAACAGTACACTACAACTAATAAAATAATTGATCACAAGAAGGTGAGATTACTGATTTCATGATCACTGTACTTTTTATTTCTAGTTTTTCACACAACAATATGTGATAGATGAAACATATGGCTAATAAAAAATGGCTTCTCACCTCTTTTCAAAGCTATGTCATAGAGAAAGGCGTTTGCTATCTGGTGCTGTGTGAGGCCGGGTTTCCTAAAAAGCTAGCCTTCGCTTATCTCGAAGATCTGCAGGCAGAGTTTCATGAACAGCATGGCAAGAAGGTGCCCACGGTCTCCAGGCCCTACTCCTTCATAGAGTTTGGTAAGAACCCTCACTCTCTCATTAGCTAGTTTCATTTACTTCCTGTCAAAGAGACAATCTTGTAATGCTGCTTTCTTACCTGTCCAAAGATACATATATTCAGAAAACCAAAAAGTCATACATCGACAGCAGAGCACGTAGGAACCTGAGCAACATCAACACAGAGTTACAGGATGTACAGAGAATCATGGTGGCCAACATAGAAGAAGTTCTGCAAAGGGGGGAGGCCTTATCTGGTAAATACTGCTTATGAACATTTTTTTCTCTTTGACCTGTAAAATCTGTTTTCGAGGCATGTAAAAGACCATTTCAAAGCTGAAGTTAAAAAGCTAGTTTGACTGACTGTTTCACTGTCTTACCTTATTTAAAAAAAATGTAAATTAAAAAGCACAAGATTCTACAAATCAATATGATTTTAAAGGCTTTAATGACAAATATTAACAAAACATTACACTAACAAAGAATGTAAAATGTATGAATATGGTACTAATATAGGTTCAAATGAAAATCAAATTTTTACACATAAAACAAAGTTGTTGTTGTTTTTTGAAAGAATTCAGTTTTCAGCAATGACATTTAAAATGCATTAAAAATGACGTTTACAATGTTACAAACGATTTCTATTTCAAATAAATGCTGTTCTTTGAACTTTCTATTCATCAAAGAATCCTGAAAAAAATTAAGACGGTTTCCAATATTAAGCAGTGCAGCTGTTTTCAAAGTTGATTATAATAATAAATATTTCTTGGGCACCAAATCAGCATATTAGAATGATTTCTGAAGGATCATGTGACACTGAAGACCGGAGTAATGACTCATGAGTAAAATTCACGTT